GTTGGCACATTGGAGCAAGGGTGAAGAAGTTAGAAGTGAAAACGAGTTAATCGCGAAGACGCTGGCGTCGGTCTTCTGACCAGACGCTGGGTCTGAAAGCACCGGACCCTGGCTGCGTGTGTCCGGTCAAACTGACGGGTCTGCGCAGTGCCGAGGGTATTACACCAGACGCTGATCTGTGTCCGGTCAAGGTGGACCGGACACGTCCGGTCGAAGAAATACGCCTCGGAGAGCTTACTGGAAACGACCGGACGCTGGGGCTTCAGCGTCCGATCAGTTTTACCGGAGCGTTCGGTCAACTACGTAGCCGTTGAAATCGGACGATCGGCGTTTGAAGCCAATGACTCGTGGCGCTCATCGCACGACCGGACGCTGAGGTCCAACGTCCGGTCAATATGACCGGAGCGTCCGGTCAATATGACCGGAGCGTCCGGTCAGCCCGTGTTCAGCCCAGTGAAGGGGTACAACGGCTCTATTTCACTGGGGCTCTATTTATAGCCCCATGGCCGGCTCAAGCTCCCTCTCTTGGCCATTTGCATTGAAATAGCAACCTTGTGAGCTTAGCTAAAGCCATCCCACTCATTTCCATCATAGATTAAACATCTTTGTGAAATTGTGAGAGAATCCAAGTGCATTGCTTGAGTATTTGCATCTAGTGGCACTTGGTGTTCGTGTTTCGCTACGGGATTCGCTTGTTACTCTTGGTGGTTGCCGCCACCTAGACGGCTTGGAGCAGCGAGGATCGTTGAGCGGAGGGTGGTGATTGTCTTCGGCTCCGATCGTGGTGATTGTGAGGGGTTCTTGACCTTTCCCCGGCGGAGCGCCAAAAGGTACTCTAGTGGATTGCTCGTGGCTTGTGTGATCCTCATCTTATGTTGGTTGTGCGGCACCCTATTGAGGGTTTGGCGGATGAAGCCAATTAGCGCGTGAACCTCCAAGTGAGTGAATCGCCATAACGAGGACTAGCTTGCCGGCAAGCAAGTGAACCTCGGTAAAAAATCATTGTGTTCATCATTGATTCCGAGGTGATTGGTCTTCATTGTTATCCACACTTGTGATTGATTGGGTCATACATCTACATGGCGGTATAACCTTCTTGTCTACTCTTTACATTACCGTAAACTAGTTGTCAAGCTCTTTAGTGTAACTAGTTGTGAGAGCTTGTTAGTTTGGTTAGTGTGGCTCTTTAGTTAGCCTTTGAGAGCACACTAACTTAGTGTGGTGATATAGTGATATAGCTATTGTGTGGATATACTCCATCTAAACTAGAATTGTGGTAGGTGGCTTGTATTTTGGTAGGCTAGCGCAAAACTCGTTTCGCCTCATAATTGTCTAATCCTTTTGTTAAGTGTTGTTGAAGAAATTTTATTAGGCTATTTACCCCCCTCTAGCCATTAGGACCTTTCACTCGCGCCCCCTCCGCTTGCCATACCTGCATGCCACGCGCGGGACCGCCTGTCCCTTCGCTTCCCGCGCGTTGCAGAGCAGCGCTCCATCCCTCTGCTCCCCCACGCACATGCACAGCGCCCAAAGGCAATTATGACAGGGTGGGTCACATTGCAACATGTGCAACATGCCAATCTACTTTTGAAACATCTAGATAAAACATTTGCAACATACGTACAAAACAGCTGAAAACACCTAAAACATGCATCTGAAAACACCTACAAAAATAGTTGAAAACTTTTGAAAACTATTGCAAACATACGTAACATCCAGATAAAACACTTGCAACATACGTGTGAAATATATGCAACATCGAGATGAAACACTTGCAACAAACGTATGAAAAAACAGATGAAACATTTGGAACATACACTTAAAACATATGTGTATAGGCATTACAACATGTGCAACATCATGATCTACTTTTGCAACATCAAGATAAAACACTTGCAACATCCAGATGAAACATCTAAAACACTTAAAACATAAAGTTGCAACATGCGCTGCGCAAATGTCACCCTGCTGCTTGGACGAGGTACCCGAGCAGCGACGGGCACACCGGCGAAGGAGAGCGCCGCGACGGCCAAGAGCTTCCACACGCCGAGGTCAAGGTCTGTGTTGATGAGCGCCCAGAGGAGGTCGTCGTTGTTGTCCCCCGCGCCGCAGAAGACGTCTGACTCATCGACCACGCCGGCGTCGACGAGGTCTCTGGAGGAGAAGTGAGCGCGGCGAGGCAGCAGACGCGACGAGGAGCGGGATGGGGGCGTCACGTGGCGCGCAGCGGCGAGACGGAGTGGGGTGGGCACCCGATGCGTTGAAGGCGTTCGCTCATGGGAATTTCTGTCTGTGGGGATTCTGTCATGGGATAGAGATGGAGGAGAGTGTATAGGGAAACATGTCGATTACCTATTGAGCCCGATAGTTGTGTAGGACTGGGAACGACGGCGTCTGAACGCACACGCCCGGACAGATGCCGTAATCATAGCATTATAATATAGAAACTTAAAATTTTATTTTAGAGATAGATTGAGATGCAATCGGGGTTTTATACTTTCTATTATTATGTTTTTAATTAAAGAAACTCCAAAATAACCTAATCTTGAGTTCTTTTTTTTGAGCAAAAACCCAATCTCGTGGTGAATCCTACGCGGCGCACAGACTCCTAGGCCCAAAGAGAGCAGCGTGCTAGTCCGCCGCCGCCATGGCACCCAAACCAGACTGGATCCCAACTCGACCCAATTTAGGGGGTGTTTGGTCGCTCCTCCTAAACTTTAGTCGCTGTCTCATCGGATGCTAGTCCGACAAACCTAAGAGCATTTGTAGTGTATCGTCGAGCCCGGCTTGGCACGAAACGCATATGTTAACCGGATCCCAATGGGTAGAACGAAGCCTAATCGGATCGATAGATGGGACCCGCATGGGGAAAAGTCAATTTACTGCTTTCCTCCTCCCCGCACCCCCCTCCGCCTCCTAAATTTCATCTTGGTGGCGGGAGCAAAGAAGCGGTAGAGAAGAGAGAGGAAGGGGCGAAGCTTTGAACCCGGTTCAATACAAAGACGCGGGGTCTTCATCGAATCGATGCCGCAATATATAGGACTCGGTCCGATAGCCGCATTTATTGTATCGGACCATGCTAGCACCGCACACTGCGGATGCTCTAACCCCCTAAATTTTAGTAACAGTGTCCAAACGCCCCCTTAACCCAGCCCAGGAACTCAACCCTACTCCCGACCCGTCCTACTCCTACGGTCCTACCCCATCAGTTGTGGCCGCGCGTCTCTGGTTGGCTCGTGCCGTTGCGCTGCGGCAAAGCCTCCCCCGCCCGCGTCCTCTCTCCTCCACCCGCCCGCGTCCCCCGCGGGAGCGAAACCCTAGCTAGGGTTCTGCCCGCCGCCGCCGCCGCCTTCGACCCAGACGCGGGCACCCTTTCCCGCGAGCCCGCCATGGACACCGGACGCAAGCGGACCGCGCCGGAGGCGGGCGCCAACGGCGTGGGCGGTCTCAAGCGCGCGAGAGGTGAGCAGCTTCGCTAGCTCTCTGGAATCTGGAATGGCTGTTGCTTCACGGAAGGTTCGGCTCCGTAGGGGGGGTTCTAGCTGCTCTTCGTTTGCCGGATCTGCGCACCGTCGTTCGCGGCTTGGCTGCGAACCGCAGGGATCCGTGGCTTTTGCTGCTGTTGCTGCAGGGGAGATCTGGGGTATTTGGGGCTTGGAATGGCCTAGATATATTTTTCTTGTTTTCTGCGATTGGTTTCCGTGGGAGCCGATGGCTCGTTCTCGTTTAGGTTTACGCACGGGAATTTGCTCTTGGACGAAAATTTTGAGGGATGGACCTAGTGGACGTGCTAGATTGAGATGGCTGCTGTTCTGTTCGCATAGATCCTTCAGCTTTACTTTGTTGAACTTTTAGTGCTTCTTCGTTGGACTAGCTAGAATTGCCACTTTTAGTGCTTTCGGTGGTTTAAGCAAGTATTAATTTTCCAATAACAAAATCATTGGGGCATTGCTTATACTGGACGTTGTAGCAGCAGCATTGATTTTCTTTCTCGGCCTTTTAATGTAACGCCCAGTGTTTCTTTAATGAATTATATCTATTTATTATATATTCATATTACTTTACCAAGCGACATGATTTAGTAAAGCAACACATTATTAATTGGCGGAAGTAATAAATTTGGTGTAACAGAATCGGAGACAACTCAAATGGGTGTAGGAAGCAAATCCAAGCCGTGCACCAAATTTTTCAGGTTCTAATCTAACTTAAAATGAACTCTCATCTGGTAACATCTGCTATCATTATTATGCTTTTATTTTTTTTAATTAAAATTTGTTATGTTACTAAATGCTGTGCTTGATGCTAACAAATGGATCAGCCTAGATTCTGCTACAGGAGGGTTTTGTCTAATCATTGCTTAAGAACACTTAACAGAGTAAAAATTGGAATCTACTGCTGTTTATCACTGTGAAAACTGATGCAACAAGGGAACCTATTGCTCTATATCACTGAAAATCTGAACTATGCAACAATGGTTACGAGGAAACAAAACTTCCTCTCAAAAGGAACAATCAGTCAGTAGCACCATGGAACAGGTCCATTTGAAGGAAATCATGAAGATTAGATTGAACATGGGGACTATATAATTCAATTCCTTGTGAATTGTACCACTTTGTTCAATTACAGTTTCTTATCAATATGATGCAGCAGTAGTTTTGAACACCAATATCTTTGAAGCTTGATTATGAATGGCATTTTTTATCAAGCATGATTTATAAAAGATTAGTTCATATCTACTTAATTTTTTATTCATTGCATATATATTTTTAGCAATTCATGTAGTGAGGTTATATTATCCAGCTGCATGTAACTTAATCTCTTTCATCAACATTGTTTGCATTTTTGTATCAACTAATATGACAGTCTGTAGGTTGTCAGATATATTTGCATGTTCTGTTGCTTATATGATGTTTTCAATGTGCAGCACGGCTGGTTGTCCCTTTGGTGCAAGTTGCCATTTTCTCCATAACTTCCCCGGTGGCTACCAGGCAGTTTCAAAGATGACCAACTTGGGTGGACCGCCTGTTCCAGCTCCACCAGGAAGAATGCCTATGGGACCTGGTGGCCCTGATGGGCCACCTTCACCTGCTGTGAAGACTCGCATGTGTAACAAGTACAACACTGCAGAAGGATGTAAATGGGGGAGCAAATGCCACTTTGCTCATGGAGAGAGGGAGCTTGGAAAGCCCCTGCAGATGGACAACTCGATGGGAGCTCCTCCTCCAATGGGGCTAGGGCCCAACGGTCACTTCATGCCACCGCCAATGCCTCACCTAGACATGGTTCCTCCCTCCACATTCGGTGCTTCGGCCACAGCCAAGATCAGTGTCGATGCATCCCTTGCTGGCGCCATCATTGGGAAGGGTGGTACCAACACAAAGCATATATCCCGAGTGACTGGGGCCAAGTTAGCCATCCGGGATAATGAGGCTGATCCCAACCATAAAAACATTGAGCTCGAGGGAACATTTGACCAGATCAAGCACGCTAGCGCAATGGTCACAGAGTTGATTGTCCGCATCAGTGGTAAGGCGCCTGGCCCACAAGCCAAGAATAACCCAGGAGGCAGGGGGCCTGGTTCTCATGCTGGGGGTCCTGGAAGCAACTTCAAGACCAAGTTGTGTGAGAACTTCAACAAAGGCTCCTGCACCTTTGGAGACAGGTGCCACTTTGCCCATGGCGAAAGTGAGTTGCGCAAACCTGCTGCTGCTTGATATGTATGGTTATTGTGGCCTGTGGTGATTACTCTGCCTGTATGGCTGAATAACACCAGAACCAAGGACAGTCGCCCATGGTGAAATGTACTGAACCTCATGCTGCCTGAGAGAGATCCATTCCGTGGCTTGTATTTGATCTTACTGCTGTAACTCTCTTCGATAGAGATAAGCAATGGCCGTCTTCTAGGATTTGTAGGTTTGCCGTATCTTCCCCTGCTTCTGAATCCTATTTTTGTACTGTTTCTTAGGCACTTTTGGCTGGCAGATGATTGTGATTCTGTTGTCTTGAGAATAGTTGCTATTGATGTTATCGGTTTGTGAATTCTTAATAGCTCTTTTGAAATCCGGATGTCGTTAGTGATGTTTTGAGGATAATCATGAGATTGATTATCCTGGGTAATTTGCGTAGTGTTTGGACTAACCTGTTATGGCTTGGTTACGATCTAGGATGTCCAGATGATGCTATGCAATTTATGTTGTTCTAAACTAATTCAGTGCCAGATGGTGTTCAGGATTTCTTAAGATTTACTCCTCCATTCTAATTATAAGTCGTTTTAATTTTTTTTTACATGAATTTTGCTATGTATCTAGATGTACTTTATAACTACATACATAGTAAAATAAAAAAGGACGTACCCAGTGCAGAGAGCTTCCGTTTTGTGCGGGGTCTAGGGAAGGGTGTCAGTGGTAAGTCTTATCCTTGCCTGTGTAATATGAGGAGACCGTGACTCGAATCCAAGATCTTCTGGTCACAGGTGGTAAGACTCTACCGTTTGCACCAGACCCGTCTTTAAATACATAGCAAAATAGATGTAAAAAAATCTATTTAGCGATTTATAATAAATCTGGAATGGAGGGGAGTATTAGTTAGCACCAGGACAGAGACTTTGAGATTTTAGTTAAGCGAACTAGGATCACATTCACAGGTGAACCGGACATGCATCTGTTTCCATCGATCGACGAAACACGTTATGTTGCACCAGATGCGTCTGTTTCCATTGACGAAACAAGCCTCAGTTCTGCTGATATGCTTCATGATCTGTTTCCATCGACGAAACGTCATGTAGCAGCAGATGCGTCTGTTTCCATCGATGAAACAAGCCTCAGTTCTGCTGATATGCTTCATCAACATGCAGTAGAACAGCCGCAAATCAACGTTTCTCGACGACCTCAGTTTTCTGTTTATATGCTTCATCAGCATGCAGTAGAACAGACGCAAACCAAAGACGAAAACATGGTGCAGACGAGACAACGCAGACGAATGGGTCAAGCTCTCAAACCATCGGTTCAAAAACAGATCAAGAGACTGCAATTGGCCACCTGCATCAGCATCGTCAGCAGTTCACAGCACGAGCACCACTGACTAGTACTAGCGATTAGCGAAATTGTTCAACCCCCACAACGGACATTAAGCATCAACACTGCAAGTCAACCGAAGCATCCAACATCTTGACTATGGTTACTTCGGGCCTAAGTACACCAGAAACTAACATTAAAATCACCTCCAAAACAACTGTGACGCCCAACCATTCCAAAAGCCACCACGACCCATGCCCAGTGGGGTGCTTTACCCAAATGCATCTAAGCTCTAAGGTAAGCTAAGCTAAGCTGAAGTGAGCTCGGTTGGCATTTCTACCTAGTACCTAGACATGTACACCATCAGCCACGATCAACTGGATCAGGGCATCAGCCGTCCTGGAACAGACGCCTGCGCTTGTACGTCAGGTTCATGTCCTTCCTCTCCTTTACCATCTTGTCTCCCATGACTTCCTCCGCTCCCGTTGCCACCATCTTCTCTCCCACAGCTTCAGTCACATCCATGGCAGCTACCATTTCATCTTCCATGGCATCGTTCGCACCCATGGCTCCTTGTGCACCTGTCGCAATCATCTCATCTTGTGAGACCAGGCCCCGGTTCCTGCAGAGTTTCCTGATCGTTGTGCTTGGTGTGGCCAAGGGCACGTCGGCCTCAGTATGATTGTTTCCTCCTGTGTTGGCTACGGTCTCAGAGGACCGGTGCGGCATAAGCTCTTCCCCCTCTGGAACGACCCCTTTCATGAGCTGGAAAGGAAGGAAAGACATATCACATCAGATTACAATGCAAGTTTTTCTTTCAACAAAAGAATAACACAACTTATACAGTAGCCATTAATCAGGCATACAATGCTTTCTGCAGAAAAGTAACCAAAACTAATTCTCTATACAAAGATAATGACCAAACAAATTTTAAAATTTGATGTAAACTTGATACAGTTTTGCAACGTGTGCAAGTAGACTATTTTAGGAGAAAAAACATGGCCACACTAAATGATGAAATCAACTATATAAGATGAATGTGCATAATTTTATTCTGTGATGATAATTCAATTGTGTCAGTGGACTGCCCATGACATCTGCTAGACTATGACAAATTGTTTCCTTGAAAGATACTGAAACAATACCTTCCAGTCTTTGAAATCAAATCGGAAGACAAAGTGGCTATAGACCACATTTCCTGAGGCAACATCACTAGCTGCAGGTGCATTCCTTGGATCTGTTGCAATCAAATAGTTAAATCAGGCACACTGGAGTCTAAGTACAGAACAAGTGAATAACCATGATATTGGAGCATAGAAGCAACTAAGCAACAGTCTTACAGACAAAATGATGTCCCTCATCATTCACTTTGATTTGAACTCTTCCATCTTTCACAAGGAATGACAAGGCAAATATGTTCTCCACTGTTTGAGCAAATGATGTCCTGTTTAAAATAAGGTGTTCCAGCCTTGCATTTTTCTTCCTCCTCAGGAGATCAAATATAGCAGACATATTCTTGTCAGTATCAGACTTTGTTTTCTCAGCTGGATCAGCAAGCTGCAGAATAAGGCAGTGTCAAATTGGCATGTTATCAGAAATTGAAAGATAAATGATCTGTGTCTATATGAGTTGGAAAAATATAAATGCTACAGGCAGCTACGTCCAAAAAATAGATTATGGTCTCCACCTTAATACATCCACCACAAAATGATTGCATAACAATATCATTAATGATAGAAATGTACTTGTGGTTCCAACATAATCAACTCTTCTGTTGTTTTTATTTGGTAGTGTCAAATATTGACTAATTAGAGTTCGTCTCGCAATTTCCCACCAGCATTTAATACTATAAGCAAACATTATAAAACTTTTTGATTTTGGGATTTAGGCTCAACTCTTCTGTGTATGTAGTAGTAGAGTGCCACAGCATATACTATAAGCATTATAAAGATTTTGTTTGTTTAGGCTGTACTTACTGGAACCATTTTCCTTAATCTTTAAAAAAAAATTGTTTGAAATAGAAACTAACAAATCTAAAACTATCTACTTACTTAATGAATAGTAAATCTGGAATGATAGAATACAAACACAAAAAAGAGAAGAAATTGGGTTAAGCTCTAGAATTCGTTAGATCATTCATCATTCAGTTGAGTAAAATGAAGAACAAACAAAAAAAGAAGGGAAAAATGCAAGTTCGACGGAGAAATGAGGTTCAAGTGTATAACTGATCAATTCACATGTATCCACAGGACATATATAGTGCAGCAAATAAACAGACCTATCAGTTTGACTAAATGTGATCCAATATGTACCCAAGCTACTATGAACAAAAAAAAGATGACTACCACACCAGCATATCTTCCATTACACTAATCATAGGGTACCTGTTCAGGGCAAGCGCTTCCACGTGGCCTTGCAGTCCTCTTTTTCCTAACACAAACTCTTCGTGGCTTCACTTCTGTCTTCATGGGACCAACCCTGTCAAAACAAACCATACAATTTTCAAATCCTTGAAATTAAAACAACCAAAGCTAACTTCAGAAAAAAAAAAAGTGGATCCATTACATGGTGGCACATCCAGATGCCTTCATGAAAACATGTGAGGTAGCAAGCCCAAGACGAGCCCAGTCCAACGAAACATTCTCATCATTGGGACCTCTTTTCTTTCCAAATTTCTTCAACAGTGCAGCAATAAAATCAGAAGGTGTGATTCCCAGAACTGATTGGGACCTTACTGATGCTACTAAACTAGCAGTAAGGTCCAGCAGGGTTTCTGCGTCAGCTATTTGCTCCCTGGGCCTCTGAACTGCAGCAGAAAGACAGCGCACACTTAGTCTTTTAGTCAGATTTCTGCTAGCAGCATCAGTGATCAGTAAGCACTGTATGATATCAAAAGCTCAAAACCAGTAAGAATACAGCACAGTACTAAAGGGTTTGTTTCATGTCTTTGAGAAATAAATGCAGTTGATATGATTACAATTGAACATTTGGCCATGAAAGAACTTCATCTATGTTATCCAATATGTTCAAAATTCAATAGCATTTTTTCCTAAAATGGATGCAATATCAACCTTGTTAAATTACTGCAAAGTTCCCTGCGTTATCCCACTGAAATTATTTCCAAATAAGAGAGGGTGCAATTGACAAGCAACATTAACACAAAGTTCACGTGTTACCTACTTATTACACAGCATTTTACAAAATTCAGTTGCGTGTTTCTTAGAAATGTGGTGATAGCATGACCATGTCAGTAACTCATTGTCAGATGATGGAGCACTCAAACAAAATCACTAAACAGAAATTAGATTACATTGCAGAAGTGTAAAGCACAGTAAGTCTCATCCTGTTAGAGGAAGACTTCACTCAAACGGTGCAGCTCAGTTAAAAATAACGGTTAAATTCGCCAACATGATGGTTGCCAGTATAAGCAGAAATATCACCACCCAAATCATGAAAATCGAGTTTCCACGAGCCAGCAAAAGCAGTCGCACTTACCATGCTGGTGCAGGCTCTCCACCTTGTTGATAATGGAGCAGAACTTATCAGAGTCCACGCTCGCCATGTCATCCTTCTCATCTGCACACAGAAACACAGCCGCGCAAACATCCCCAAAATCAAACCCAGCCAACTGCCGAAACAGCGATCGGAAATTTAGAATCGCTGAATCAGTGCGAGTTTCGCACGGCAACACGGCCGTACCG